GCAGGTATCCATGCCCTGTAACTCGTATACCATTTTATCTGAGATCCCTGTACAGACCCGATCCTGTGATCTCTTATCAGAATCAATGGACAGTGAATTTAAGAATGAGAACTCTATACTTACCACTACGATAGACTCCGTCCAGTACAGGCCACCGTGCAACAAGAATGGTGGGAGGAGTCTTCAGTACCTTATAACTTGTCTAGTGACCTTGAGGGCCTGCTGAGCACGGTGTGTGTGTGTAAATCTGTACTTGGTTTTTATAGCAGTTTGCCCATATTTTCTTTGCACTTAGAGGGAAGATTAGGTTGGACAGGGGAATTCGTGTAGAGCAGGAGTGTCAAACTTGCGGCAACATGTGACGTATCGCTCCTTTTCCCCCTTTGCTAAAACACATGGGCATGGCCAAGTGTGAGACCCATCTGGGCTGCGGGCCGCAAATTTGACACCCTTGGTGTAGAGGAATGTAAAGATGGCCTTAATACTCAACAATTGTAAGCTTAGCTTCAAAACAGAAGAGGCAGTAAGTAAATTCAGGATTGCCCTCCCTGGATTTTCTTGGTGTAAAAGAAAGAAACACTACTTTTCAAGGTCCTTTTATTAGACAGTAAAATAGAGCTAAAATGCCCTTGTAGAGTCTGTTTCTTGAGGTGATCTATCTTCAAAGGCTCAAAATATTTAACCAGAACCAGTAAGGCTCTGACTTTTTATTAGGAAATATTATCTTCTCTTTTGCCACACCTTGCCCATGGAGCACCTTTCCCACAAGATCCAGAAATCTTCAACTCAATTGGCCTTTCATAAGGCATTAAAGATCTAGATGTTCCCTCTGGCATTTGGGGCAGCAGGTTAAACCTGCCCTGTTGATGGATTTGTCTGGTTTGATTTATGCTGATTGAAAATAGTATCATGTGTAGACCCCTGGTATATGTTATATGATTATTTTGGATTAGTACTTGGAAAGTTTATTTTGTATATTGCATTGCTAGTTTGCGTTTAATCTTCTGTGTGCTTCTTAGAATCATTGCTGTATGATGGGCAGCTATATAAATTGTTTAAATAAATAAGACATTATAGTTGATTGACTATATTTGTCATTGCTGTTATATTTGTGAATCCACGAGAATCTGTTGTACAATAAATTTTAACTATCAACATTGCACAGGGAGCAGTAGACAGGCTGAATATACAGTTTCAGATATAAAGGCTTAAGTGTAGATTTAGAGAATGGAATGGTCAATACTGGCATGCATAATTTTTTAAAAAATGTTTCAAGCTGTAAATAGAACCATTCAATTCAAAATGTATCCTTGGAATATTCTACGTGTTCTCTGTTCCAATATAAAAAATTATAATGTTTTGACTATACAACATGAAGAAACAATGTGAACTCTTAAATTCAATTATATATTATCCCTATACCTTAATCAGTGCTATTTCAACTTTCAGAAAAGTAACCCAATGGGAAGATTATAAGTAATGATAAATACATTTTTGAAAAGTTTTAGAAGCAATATAGAATACAGTACATATTCAGAGTATGTATCTATGATTGGCAGTCTGGAGGGGAAAATATCAGCCAAAAACAAAGGAAAAAGAATGAAACATTACTGTGTAACTATTGACCTTCTTGAAGTGGAACACCTGATCCCATAGGGCAAAAAGCTCTTCACTCCCAGAAATCCTTTGTGTCTTTGCATCTTGGCTACATCTCTTGTTGTATGATTGCAGTTTAGTAAGTTCTGCTGCTAAGAGCCAGTGATATAATGGTATAGTGGTTAAAATATTAGGGTAAAAATCAGGAGACTGAGTTCGAACCCCAGCTTAGTCACAAAGATAGCTGGGTGACAAAGCCAGTCACTCTCTTTCAACCCTAGGAAGAAGGAAATGGCAAATACTTCCAGAATCTTGCAAAGAACCCTATAGGGCCTAGTAAAAAAACTGACTCGAGACATTAAAAAAAAATCAACTGCTACAACTTGTCTTCCAGGAGATGCCACAATTCACAGCTTTTCCTTAATAACTGTGTGAGTGAGAAAGAAAACTCTCACAACTTTTCTTTCCTTTTTTGACAATTAAAAGAAGCAGTGAATGGGAACAGACCTAGAATAATGTGCATACTACTTACCCATGTCTACAAAGGCACGTGGCCTTTCCTTCCCATTCTTGAGAAAAGCCAATCTCACTAGGGATAAAAAGAAACTTCATCAGACAGGAAGAAATTATAGAAGATCTGAAAAATATAAAAGAAAATGCAGTATGCCAGGCATACTGTGAAATTGTGATGAACTGCCTCAGTGAATGCATTCTTGCTCTTACCTAGAGATGTTGTGATTTATGTTTATAATTTACTAGAAGATTATAAACAAAATTATAGTCCTGCCTAGTGTGAGAGATGGGATGTAAAACTGAGATACGTACTCATTTTTCTCATTTGAATTGCCACTTATAAGGTAGGTAAAGAACTCCCCTTCTGTCTTTTGATTATTTATGTCTAATAAATCCTTTCCTTTCCATTACTAATAAATTACTATTAAATCCTTCCTTTTCCATTACTTTCACATCCTTCAGACAGATCTGTCTGTCTACCTACCTACTTACTTATCTAATTTGTCATATTTACAACTTTTAAAAGCACAATTTTCATTTGGTCATCTTTTTGAGGAGACTTCATATTAATCAGTCTGCCAAGCAATTTGTTTTTTCCCCAGTTCAACTAAAAAACAAAGTCCTTTCTAGCAGCAATACAGGGTGGGATAATTTGACTTGGTGTGTGATATTTTTCAATGTGGATTGACCATCAGGTTGACTGGCTGCAAATATCAACATTTAGAGCCTGCACAATCACAATGCATTCAAATAATAACAAATATTTAAACTTCAGTAAAAAAGCATGAATAATCTTTTCTAATGTCCAAACTAGTTGATAGTGATTTTTTTAATTGACTACCTACCCTACTCCCTCCTCAACACAACAGCTTTAAAATACTAGATTTATTTCAAACCTTAGAACATTCAAAATGGCTACTATAAGCTTGAGTTAGTTGGAATTTGGATTATTTTGTACTCTTCCACCTTAAGTAAATGTTTTTTCTTCTCCAAATTTGACTTGAAGAAATGAGTAGAAAATAATGACACCTTTAATTCTGCACTTTCAAATTGCACTTGACACCTGCATTGCATACACATTTGTGTTAAAACTTACAAATCAAAATAATTTCTAACATCTTAAATCTTGGTTATTCAGTGAGTCACAGAAGAGAGACAAAATACTCTCTATTCAAGCCAGTTTTTGTTTTGCCTTTTATCTTTTCCTTCCATACATACATATTCACTTGCTTCTAACACAGTAATGTAACAAAATCTATACACTACTAAAGCTCTTGTGTCTGTAACCTTTATTTAACCTGTACATCTCCACCCCAGGCCACCTCAATGATGCCCTTGAAGTGATGTCCCAGTGCCTGGAGGCTGTGCGGATCTGGATGGGGAGGAACAGGCTCAAGCTCAACCCTTCCAAGACTGAGTGGCTGTGGCTCCCGGCATCCCGATATAGTCAGTTGACTCCATCACTGACTATTGGGGGCAAGTCTTTGGCCCCCACAGAAAGGGCTCGCAATCTGGGAGTCCTCCTGGATATGCAGCTGTCCTTGGAGGAACATCTGACAGCTGTAACCAGGGGGACTTTTTGTCAGGTTCGCCTGATCCGCCAGTTGCAGCCCTTTCTTGACCGGGATTCCCTGTGCACAGTCACTCATGCCCTCGTCACCTCTCGCCTTGACTACTGCAACGCTCTCTACATGGGGCTCCCCTTGAAGAGCACCCGGAGGCTCCAACTGGTCCAGAATGCAGCAGCGCGGGTAGTGACGGGAGCAGTATGGCCCTCCCATGTAACACCGCTCCTGCGCGAGCTGCACTGGCTCCCAGTGGTCTTCCGGGTGCGCTTCAAGGTGCTGGTTATCACCTTTAAAGCGCTCCATGGCATCGGGCCTAGCTATCTTCGAGACCGCCTGCTGCTACTGATGACCTCCCATCGTCCCGTGCGCTCCCACAGAGAGGGCCTCCTCAGGGTGCCATCAGCCAATCAATGTAGGTTGGTGACCCCCAGGGGGAGGGCCTTCTCTGTGGGGGCACCTACCCTCTGGAATCAGTTGCCCCCAGAGATAAGGAGAATCCAAGACCTTAGTGCCTTCCGCCGTGCCCTTAAAACCCACTTTTTCCAGCAAGCCGGGCTGGCTTAAGAAGAAATTTTAAATGTTTTAATTGGTTTGTATTTTTAATTTTGGGCCAACTTTATATATATTTTAATTGTTTTTTAATATTTGTATTTTATGTTTTTTAATTCTGGCTGTACACCGCCCTGAGTCCTCAGGGAGAAGGGCGGTATATAAATTTAAAATAATAAATAAATAAATAAATAAATAAATAAATAAATAAATAAATAAATATAAATAAAATAAATAAATAAATAAATAAATAAATAAATAAATAAATAAATAAATTTTAGCAAAACAGTGCATCATAGTGCAAACATTTTAGACCAGATATCTCAAATGGACTACCTTATAAAATCTGTCCAAAATCCAGGACCCATGTTTCCCTGATTCCCATGGAACTGAATTTTGGCAAATTTTATCAAATCTTCTGACATTAAAATTATGTAGTCAGCTCCTGATGTTTGGCATTCACTACAGTTCATCAAGACACTTTCAAGCACATACATCTCTGAATATCTCCCTAAATGTTTAAGAACTTTTTAAACTATATTGGAAGCTCTGCCATTGTTGAAGGCAACTCATCCTGAATAGGATTCCTATTTTTAAAATTCTAATTGTTAGATGTATTGATACGATGCAATGTTATTGTTGAAATTTTTGATGGTAAAATAAAATGTCAAATACATTTATAAAAACTCAGCTCTGTTCTGTTTGATATACTGCTACTGTATCATAACTTTCTTGCCTGCAAGAAGGAAACTGGTTACACATTATGTGTTGCAGAATTGTGATGAAAGGTTCCAGTACAAATACCAACTTCGTTCCCACATGAGCATCCATATTGGACACAAACAGTTTATGTGCCAGTGGTGTGGTAAAGATTTTAATATGAAACAGTACTTTGATGAGCACATGAAAACGCACACTGGTAAGGCTACATTTTTGGCTATCTTTATACAAGACCTACTGATGTAATAATTTATAGGGCAGTTAACAGATAAAGTTCATCAGCACATAAGCTTTTTCCTTCCATTAAAATCTAAATACAATGCTGTTTTCAGTGTAATTAAACAAGGAGATTCTTGTATCATCTGAATTTCAACAGTAGAAAGCAAAAGAAGGAGAATGAATTTAAGGAAATAAAATTGCACAGTCTTTTTGGAAGTAGAAAGCTCTTGACACAATGCATGAGAAACTCTTAGGCCAGAAGAGTAATATATGTGTATATTAAGACAGAACAGAAAAGAAAATATAAAAGGAATTGTATTATTTATTCCCTGCATATTGTAGATGTAGAAAGCAGTAGAAAGGCATTGGGGAGATTTAAGAAGAGGTGTTGATAGAGACATGTAAGTGTGATGTAAAAGAACCAAATGCAAATGACGTAATAAAGGAATGGGAGATTAAGAAAATGAAACATTGGAGCTAGAAATGACAGAGCATAAAAACATGCAGTGTCAAGTTCCTACAGATCTGGTGAATTCTGCAAGGAAACCTGAATAAACTACAATGAGGCAAGATATCTGATAAATTACATTGAATATAGAAAACAAAAATCTGTGAGCAGAAGAATAATTGTGACTAAAGGGTTATATTATAAGAATTCAAATGATGTAAAAAGATAATGTGGTTGAATAGTTGTATAAATAGTCATAGAATAAATAATAACAGGAGGGTTATTGATGCTGACATTTCAAGTGAGATTGGAAATTGGAAAATGATTTAAAAGTATATAAAAAAGAAGGATGGATTGGAAGAAATTGTATAGATACCTCTATACATGTTAAAGGTGAGGAAGGTGAATGGTATAACCTGTAGGACCAGAAGTTGGGAAGGACTGAGAATTCTTGGGTATAAATCAAGATAATTCGTTGGGAGTTCTAACTTGACAAATCTGAGTTGAATTATGAACCCCAGCCAGAATAACCAACTATGAATGATTTTAGAAATTGTAAAGCAGCAATATAAATGAGTCTTTGATAATTTATTTGATTTAGGATTTGCTTTCAAAATTTTTAATGAAAATTGAATTTGATTAAAGGCTCCATTTTATAACTTTTAACAGGAGAGAAGCCTTTTATTTGTGAAATCTGTGGCAAAAGTTTCACCAGTCGCCCAAACATGAAGAGACATCGCAGAACTCATACAGGGGAGAAGCCATATCCGTGTGATGTGTGTGGCCAGCGATTCCGTTTCTCCAATATGCTTAAGGCACACAAGGAAAAGTGCTTCCGTGTTACCAGTCCTGTTAATGTGCCACCCTCTGCCCAGATCTCACTTGCCACAACGTCATCTGCCACCACTGTACCTTCTGTTGCGAACACACCGAATGCGCTTGCCCCTACTTCAGCAATCAATATGAATCCAGCGAGCACACTTCCTCCTCGCCCAGTTGTCCATCCATATTCTCATCTGCATCTTCATTCACATCATCAACATCATCTTCCAGTCCCCGTCCCTCCAGTCCCTCATTTGCCTCCACCTCCTGCTCTATTTAAGAGTGAGCCTTTAAATCATAGGGGCCAAGGTGAGGACAGTTTTCTGCGACACCTAGCAGAAAAAAACAGTTCAGTGCAGCACCACTAACTGCTTGTCTTCTGCCTGCTATTCTCCTGATTTAAAAAATCTGGAATTGTGCTCTTCCCTAAGAAAAGGTACCATTTTGGCCCCAAGTAAATTTGCATTACTCTTGGTGACATCCAACTTAGGGGAGCCATTAGGACAGATGCCCAATTTGGCTTGCACGTTTTACTGTTGACTTTTATAAATTTCAAAAGGACTGAGAATTGTGGATTTTTTTATAATTTCATATCAGCTAATGAGGTATGCTTGCTTTTGTATTCTGGATTTTCTCCTCAAATTGGGGATGAGTCTGGTTTCCTTTGTACTAATCAGAAAGACTGTGAGACTAAATCCCAGAGCATTAATGATCACTGTGTATTGTTAATTTCTTTTCTGCTCTGTATGTGTGTGTGAGAGAGTTTGTGTGGGTGTGGGTGTGCTGGTTATGGAGTGAACCAGCCACATGATTGCAGAATATGAAGCATAGGAAAAACAACAACAATAGTAAACAGAATTTAATCTCATTTGAATAGTTCTCCTAACACACTCTTTATTTTATTATAAAAATTATTTTAGAGTTTTTGTATAGACCTATTTAGTAGCCTGTTTCTAAAACGAAATGTATTTCAAATAAGCGATGTAATTTTTTTCAGTGTAGCTGGACCTATGTTGTTACAATAGATAATTTTTATAATCATTCAAATGTGATTCTTTTAAGAAAAAAGATGCAAATAGCTTCTATAGTAAAAATTATTCTTACATCTGTACTGCTCTAAAAAGGTGCTTTGAAGTGTAAAGGAAGAAGCCCAAGAAGTCTCTTGTAAAGCTGCCTCAGAAGTGGAGATAATTTCAGAACTTTATATAACTTATTTGTAGGGGGAGGGGAATTTTTACTGTGAGACATATCTTCTTTCCATGTCACTTGAGGGCGATTAGATAAGGACATTGAACTACTGTATGCCCCCAAATTTCACTTCTGTTATACTGAAGCATGAAACATTTCAGAAAGGATTTCTCTTAGATAGAGTGAAAATTGCACATGAGGGACAGTCTCAACCAAATATGGTTTCAAACATAGTATGCTACCTTATCATGGGCATACCTTAGGGCCTAGTTCATTATAGAGACATGTGTATAAGGTATGAGTTAAATTGGGACCGATTTGATGCTGCTTGTTTTTTCTTAAGTTTTTTAGGTGATAAGCAAGGGAACTGCAAACTAGATGCAATTTAGTTGGATCTGTAAAAATTAAACCTGAATTAGGCAAACTGGTGTTAAAGCCATTGTCATGTTGGCTGAAAAAATGAATATCATGGAGTATGTGCATACACTAAAGTTGTGTGAAGGACAGATAGTACTGATTATAGAGGATAATGTCTTTCAGGTTTGACCATATTCCACAGATAAATGGAAAGAAATGTTGAATGTTAAGCAAGTTGGTAATTGTGTTTTTCTCAGTCTCCAATGGCTCTAAGTTGTGACAAATAAAATCATGGTAATTAACTTTGGATAAAGTACAGCACCATTTAAGGATCCACTTAGTACCTTGAGGAGAAGGCATAGAGATTCCTTTATATTTGGAATCTAAATTTTTCTAAGTTTAATTTTCATGCTCCAAGACCATCATGCTGATTCCTAGGATATTGTTCTGCTTTTGAAAATTAGGCTTTAAGTCTAATTTAGAAAGGGATATTATCTTGGATGAAATGGAAAGCCCTTGTTATTGCATTCCCTTAGGCTGCTGATTGTGTTTCCGCCTTTTATTAACTTTGCATTAAAAATAAAATAGCTGACTTTTCGGTATCTATTCATATTTGACTGAAAACTTCTTAACTCCTTTTTCTGGAAAAAAAAAAGTATTTTTAAAATGTTGTGATAACACTTATTTGTTCCTTCTCCTTTTTTAGGCAGTAAAGCTAACTATAAAAATGAATAATATTTAACAGTTCACTATCATCTACTATCTTGATTGGTTTTATACATTCCATGTCATCTTGTAAAATTGCAGTTCTGTATAGAATGCAACCGGCCAACAATGTGGCCTGTAAAATCCACTGTTCCAAATTTAAAGGAAAAAGTCACATCTGATAAATCAATTGTAATCCAATTTGCAAAAGCATTTTTTAAAATAAATTTACAGTATTTGGCTGCTATTTATGAATCCTACTACTTGAGAGGGGTGTATTTCTGTGCTCTTCTGTTCTACATTATTTATTTCAGAACTGTGTTCTACATAGAATGAGTAAAAGAAACTAGAAAAATGAGTCATGCACCATTGAAGTTTCTTCATTCTTGTGTGGATGAATTTGCATCTATCCTATTGCAATACTTAAGGCTTCTTTTTAGAATTAATTTGGTTCATTGCAATGTCATCCCTGTAATCCCAATCATTAATGGGTATATGAACTGATAGAGGTCTATACTTCTATCTTTATGCAATGCTGTAGAATACTTTTGGCCCCTTTTCATTTTTATTTCAAAAATATTTTCAAAACACAAATATTATAAATGTATAGCCATTCAGAATCCATTTCAAATGTGTAGGACATGAATGTGTCATTCTCTGTAAGTCTTTAAAATAGCTGCCTATTTTCGTAGGAACACACAGCTTTCAGGAATTAAGTTGAAAACTTTGCGCAGCCCAAGTGCAAAAATGATTCAATCAATATGTAAAGTACCCTTTATTAGATTTTGGATTTTGAAGTAGGATTATAATTCTAGAAGTCTTTTTAAACTGGCACGCTTTTACTCATAAGATGTGAAAGTTTTCATGCTAAATCTTTAAAACAATTTATGTTTCTTCATTTTATTGTATAATAGCAATAGCAATAACACTTGGACTTCTATACTGCTTCATAGTGCTTTACAGCCCTCTCTAAGCAGTTTACAGAGTCAGCTTATTATCCCCAACAATCTGGGTCCTCATTTTACTGACCTCGGAAGAATGGAAGGCTGAAGCAACCTTGAGCCAATCAGGACTGAACTCTTTGCAGTGGGAATGGAGAGTTAGCCTGCAATAATGCATTCTAACTACTGTACCACCACAGCTCTTTAACTCCATAATATTTTTCCTTCTGCTGCAAATTTTACTATTTCCTGTTAGAGTTGCAAAGTACTACTCTCTGCATTTTAATAATTTGCACAATGATTTGTGTTGCTACTATCATAGTCTTGGAAGCCATAGGATCTGATCATTGGTGTTTTTACCATCAGAAACATCCCATAAATTCACCATTCTCGGAGTATAAACATAATGAATAAAATGGTTTTGAGAAAATGATGTCTCTAATGTTTGCCCCAAAAGGGGTAGTGACAGAACATACAACCAATTTTTGCACCAGGCCTGCTCCAGGACAATTGCATTGCCAGCACTTATTCTCAGCATTAGAGAGTTTTGATTGATCTTGTCAAGCACTTCACAAAATTGCAGTGAGTATTGACGTTAAATATGACATTGTATAGCTCTTCAGACACACATAACAATTTCAACATATTACAGTTATGAATTTCTATTTGTTTGCTGTCAGTGACTGTAATAAAAAGGCCTATTCATTCTATTAGTTTGTTTTTATACTTGCATTTTAGTAATTAATCCCAGAGGAAGATCTAAAGATTAAGCAAGAACTGTGATTTGTTTAAAGGCTAATAAATTGTTTTAAACTGCTTTAAGATTATTGATTTTGATCCTAGAATACAGCATATGTGACTCCCTCCCCAGAAAAATGATACTTACAGTTGCAAGAAAGTTTATGAACCCCTTGGGATTACATGGAGTTTTGCATGAATTGATCATAAAATGTGCTCTGAACTTCATCTAAGTCACAACAATAGAAAAACACAGTCTGCTTGAAATAATACTACACAAACATTAGATGTTGCCATGGTTTAATTGAACATAACATGTCAACATTCACAGTGCAGGGAGGAAAAAGTATGTGAACCTTTGGACTTAATAATTGGTTGACCCTCCTTTGGCAGCAATAACCTCAACCAAACGTTTCCTGTAGTTGCAGATCAGACCTGCACAACAATCTCAAGTAATTTTGGACCACTCCTCTTCACAAAACTGTTTCAGTGTAGCAATATTCTTGGGATGTCTGGTGTGAATCGCTCTCTTAAGGTCATGCCACAGCATCTCAATCCTGAGATCAGGACTCTGACTGGGCCACTCCAGAAGGCGTATTCTGTGCTGTTGAAGCCATTTTTTTGTTGAATTACTTGTATGCTTTGGATCATTGTCCTGTTGCATCACCCATCCTCTGCGGAGCTTGAGTTGGCAGACAGATGGTCATATGTTTTCCTGCAAAATGTCTTGATAAACTCTGGAATTCATTTTCCCATCAATGACAACAATCCATCCAGGCCCTGAGGCAGCAAAGCAGCCCCAAACCATAATGCTCCCTCCGCCATGTTTTACAGTGGGGATGAGGTTTTGATGCTGGTGTGCTGTGCCTTTTTTTCTCCACACATAGTGTTCTGTGTTCTTCCCAAACAACTCAATTTTGGTTTCATCTGTCCACAGTATATTTTGCCAGTAGTGCTGTGGAACATCCAGGTGCTCTTTTGCAAACTTCAAACGTGCTGCAATATTTTTTTTGGACAGCAATGGCTTCCTCCATGGTGTCCTCCCATGTACTCCATTCTTGTTTAATGTTTTCCTTATTGTAGATGTGTCAACAAAAATGTTAGCTTGTGCCAGAGATTTCTGTAGGTCTTTAGCTGACACTCTAGGATTCTTCTTTACCTCATGAAGCATTCTGTGCTGTGCTCTTGCAGTCATTTTTACAGGATGACCACGCCTAGGGAGAGTAGCAACAGTGCTAAACTTTCTCCATTTGTAGACAGTCTGTCTTACTGTGGACACATGAACATCAAGGCTTTTGGAGATACTTTTGTAACCCTTCCAGCTTCATGCAAGTCAACAATTCTTGATCGTAGGTCTTCTGAGAGCTCTTTTCTGCGAGGCATGGTTCACATCAGACAGTGCTTCTTGGAACCAGTAAACCCAAAATGTGTGTGTGTTTTTAAAGGGCAGGACAGCTGTCAGCAACACATCCAATATCATCGCACTGATTGGAGTCAAGGTTGGCTCACTCCTGGCTCCAATTAGCTCTTGGAGAAGTCATTAGGCTAGGGGCTCACATACCTTTTCCTCCCTGCACTGTGAATGTTTACATGTTATGTTCAATTAAACATGGCAACATCTAATATTTGTGTAGTATTATTTTAAGCAGACTGTGTTTTTTTATTGTTGTGACTTAGAAGAAGTTCAGAGCACATTTTATGACCAATTCATGCAAAACTCCACGTAATCCCAAGGGGTTCACATACTATTTCTAGCAACTGTAAATCAACCCCTTGAAAGACTAAAAACAGCAATTGCACAAAGCTGTAAGAACTTAGTTCAATTTATAACAGCAAAAGAAGATCAACTATTTTCTTCCCATTACTGTATAGGTAGTCCTCAACTTAAAACCATTCATTTAGTGACCATTCAAAGTTACAATGGTGTTGAAAAATGTGATTTACAAACCAGTCCTTACGCTTACGACTGTTGTAGCCCTTGCAGCATCCCTCTGGTCATGTGATCAAAATTTGGACACTTCACAACCAATATATATTTATAATGGTTGCAGCCTCCCAGAGTCAGGGGATCACTATTTGCAGCCTTCCTACCCACCTGAAACCAAAGTCAATGATGGAAGCTGGACTTAATCATATGATTTACTTAATCACAGTATTTTGCTTAAAGATCACAGCATAAAATTGGATGCAACATTAAAAGCCACCTCACTTAATGACAGAAATTCCAGTCCCAATTGTGATCGTTAGTTAATCAAGGATTACCTGATATTAAAATATGCTTGATTTGAGAATAAATCTTTAGTCTGGCAACACAAGTATTGCCTTTTCATATATTATGTATGATTTAAAAATTTAATGGTTGGATTTAATTTTAATTTTGAGTGAAACAGTAAGGAATATTCATTTGCTGATTTGCCTTAGTGGAATATTTAACATTCATGCGGGATTCTGTTCTCCAAAAAAACTAGAGCAATGGAAACAACAAAAGAAATCAAACTGTTGAAACTGTTTTCTCTCATATTCTTCCTTCCCTCACCATGAGTCTTTAAAATTGATTTGAAACCTATTTTTCTACTTACCAATCAACTTAGATTTTTGAATGAGAATGAATGAATGAATTCTTAACAGTTTTGATTTTCAGGGTGGCAACAGATGGCATTTTAATAAGGTTGAAGAACAGATTGGGGAGGTGAGTTAACAATGACATGTTACAATTTTGTCAGTGTACTGTAGCATAAATCATGTGCATGCTTAAAAGGAGAATTGTACAGTGTTCTGAGGTAGGTGGTTTTTTTTTTGTTTTGTTTTTTTTTTTTTTGCATAAATAACGGGTAAGAAGTTTAGCATAAATGTCAACTTACGTGTTGGCTGCGACTGCAAACAAATTTGCAAAAATTAGAAACTTTGCAATGCTGTTTTCTGACACGAGGTATGTTTGCTTTGGCAGGTCTGCTATATACTGCTGAATACATCATTCCCTGTTCTTCCTTTCTAGTCATTCATATATCTCCCTAAACAAAGTGTAAACATACTTTTACAAACATAGAAAAACATTTTTTTCATTCACCTTAGTTTTGTTTTTCCATATGAAAAAACTTCTTTGAACTTAGTTATTTGCATCCTAACAAAACATTTCTGCAGAGACCGTCTTAATTAAATATGTATTCTTCTATAGCAAACTTGACTCTTAAGTGAAATGGAATAAGTTAAATTCACAGCCATAGTCTGTTGGACATATGTAATATTTCTTTTTGCTCAAAGTTAATATAAATGCTTTCTGCTAATAACAGTATTTTCTGTTCTAACAGGCTGCATTAGATACTGAACTACCCTTACCACTGCAAACCTTGCATGCAAATGAAAATCTGATGTCCATTTAGCCACCTAAAATCAAAACTGATTCAAAGGCAATAACAAAAACTAGATAGCAAGTAAGCATGAGCTGCTTGAGTATTTTTGTTTCATTTTTGTTGTATTAACTTTGCTTTACTTCCTTGAATCATTTGACTCTTGATGACTGCATGAACATATCCGTATAATTTTGTTTGACAATGAATTCCGAAATGGC